AAGTAAGGACTTGTGTTGTTAAAGTTTCGTCGGAACGAAGTTACGGAAAGTTAATTAACAAACGGAGACGTAACAATATCTTAATCTAAGTTATTAATAGGTCACGGTCTCCCAGAAAATATTGGCATATTGAAAATCAAAGTTGGGTCAGTAGAGCTCCCAAAGCAATTCAATTTATTATCTGCTGATATGTGTATGAAAAATAAAGATAAAGAAATGGTTCCAATATTTGTTGTAATATAGTAGCACTGTTTTCGCCCCCTGTTAGTTCAACTGTAAGTAAATAATTCTCTTTTTTCTTCTGTTAATACAATATCATTTGTGATAAGTTCACTTACGTTACCCCATGGATTACCATAGTTATATACAGAGCTTTTAATCATTCTCTTTTATGTCAAAAGTCCACACAGGCTGGTTCAGTTACTTTAAAGCCCAAGTGACACGACAAATTATTCTCCTTATCTCTGTTAAACTATGAAACTCACTTTAAAATATCACCCATTATGACTAAACTAACAATCAAGCAGTCTAACTTCACTTTCATTAAGTTAACTTTTTCTAACTTAACTTCTTTAGTAAATTCTTTAGAAATCGCCCATCATGGCTAAACTGCCAATAACTCAGTCTAGATCTGTCTAATTATCTCTAGCTTAACTTGCTTTTTTTTTACATTTTGGACGTCTGTTTATAAATATTCTGACTGAGGCCTAAAACTTTCTATATTACACACAAGGAGGAAAACTTAGAAACTTCGAGTAAGATTACGTCAACAATATTACTAAAGCCTAGTTCAACAATTAAATTGCATACACAACGTACAGCTGGTACCGAATTACATAATGAAACTTGTCATAACTATCGCTTTTAAAATAATTAACTTTTAACACTTGTTATAAAAACCAAATAACCATTAAATATTAAATCACTAAATAAACTAAATCATAACTATCATACTAAACAGTATTGTATATCCAACACAATACCATTGTGTACTTTTGGGCTTAACAACAAACAAAAGTCATCTTTTGTTGAAGTTTTTTTATTTTTCATGTTTGTTTGTAGTTAGGCACAAAGCTACATAAAGAGCTATCTGTGCTGTGATCCACCACGGACATGAAACCAGATTTTTAACGTTATAAGTTTTGATACTTATTGCTGAGCCATTGAGGGGCTTTATTTTTCTGATTTTTTGTCTTTCGTCACTTCACTTTATATAAGAAGGATAGATGGTGCTGTAGTCATATCCGGTTTACTCTTTTTTTTTTTCCACCGATAATAATCATTTTTGGAATTTGGGCATGTATGTTAATTCCTAATATATTCATAAAATATTATATTTTGTAAATGTATACATTTAAAGAAATATTTTTCAAATATTCCTTTAACATGTGTAACTAATATTAACTTCCGATCAGAGTAAGTTCCGTAATTTAAATTAGTACTTAGAGTTACGCTTACAGTAAGTTGAGTAACACAAATATGTGTAATGTACGTCGTAAATGTCACTGTCAAACTCAATAGATACTAAGAAGTAAGATAGTATTACTGTTACTAGAGATAATATTTTGTAAATTGTAATTTTTACAAATCCCAAAGTCACATTCAGTGTTGTTGTGTCTCATTTTTAGTCATTTATTTACGTTAGTTACATGTACATGCACGTTAAATGGCGTAAAAGAGAGAGAGAACAGGGTTTTCTTAGTGTTACACTATTTAATACCTTGTTTGTTTTTCTAGCCTGTCTTGGCGTCATAATTTGGATATTTTTACAAATCCCAAAGTCGCATTCAGTGTTGCTGTGTATATTTTTAGTCATTTATTTACGTTAGTCAGTTACATGCACGTTAAATGGCGTAAAAGAGAGAGAACAGGGTTTTGTTAGTGTTACACTATTTAATACCTTGTTTGTTTTTCTAGCTTGTCTTGGCATCATAATTTGGATATTTTCCCTCTTAGAAGAAAATTGCATTAAATACTAGCAGAAAGTTGAAAACATGGCATCAGAATGCAATGTTCAAATTGAACCAGAATGTTGTAGCCCCAAAGTGTTTGTCAAACCAAAGAAAGAAATTACTTCATTTGATCTCATGCAGACGTGGAATAAGTCTGAAGCTTACAATGAATACATAGGATTTATTATTGCTATGAATGAAGCTGTCAGAGGAAAAAAACTTACAGATAAATGCTTTGTGTCTCCTGTAACTTCTGCTTTGATTGAGCTTCTGAATACTTTAGATGGTTGGATAGACAAGATTCCTCCTATTGATCAGCCACAAAGGTTTGGAAACAAAGCTTTTCGCCAGTGGCATCAAAAACTAGTTGATGAAGCCGAAAGTCTGCTTAAGAATGCTATTCCTGAGCAAGCTTATGCTGCTATTATTGAACTTAGCCCATACCTGATAGACAGTTTTGGAAATCCTACCAGAATCGATTATGGTACTGGTCACGAAATGGCTTTTGCTATGTTTCTTTGTTGCTTGTTTAAAATTGGAGTAATGACAAAAGATGATTCTGAAGCTGTGGTTAACAGAATATTTGACTGTTATATGAAGATGGTTAGAAAGCTGCAGCTTACCTATCGAATGGAACCAGCAGGAAGCCACGGAGTATGGAGTCTTGATGATTATCAGTTCATTCCATTTATTTGGGGGAGTTCTCAGCTTATTGGACATCCTCGACTGGAACCTAAGTCATTTACTAATGAAGAAACTGTTGAGTTTTATGCCAAAGATTATATGTTTATGAGTTGCATACAGTTCATTTACAAGGTGAAGTCTGGCCCTTTTGCTGAACATTCAAATCAACTTTGGAACATCAGTGGCGTTCCCAACTGGACTAAAGTAAATGGAGGATTGTTGAAGATGTATAAGGCTGAAGTTCTTGGAAAATTCCCTGTTGTGCAACACACTTTTTTTGGATCCATTCTTTCATTTAAACAAGCTAAAACATAACCTAAAACTTCATGTGTTCTGAAACTTTTTTTTCATATAAAGAACTTAGTATAAATAAAGTGTATACTTAAATGTTTATGTATTACATTAGGTTATTTCATAGTTATTGCTACAGTAGTTGACATTCAAGTTTTAAAACTTATTATATTAACACATCTTGTGCATTAGTCTGTAGCATTCATTTGTTACAATTTTTATTTTTCAATTCCTTTAGTGAGTGCAACTTATCAAACAGATTTAAATGCATGTATATATTCTTGTATATTTAAAGCGTATTACATGCTGCGTGTTAAATAAATACATTGATAAAAATGCACAGTCTGATACTGCCACTGAGCTTATTTTTTGTTTTGTTTTTAATTGTAAAATTCTAAAAAGTGCTAAAATTAAAAACATTTTATACATTATAGGGAATTGTGTTGCTTCACAGAGGAGACTTCAAAAGATAAAAATTTTAAAAAGTAATGATGAAGCCCTTTTTTATAGGTGTTGTATATAAAGCAGAAATATCAACATTTTGTTGAGCATAAAACATTAACTAGTGACCATATGAAGACTGACCCAAATATGTAATGAAATTATTTAAAAATCTTAAAATTGTGCTTTAGCAAACTTTTCCACTTAGTCAATTGAGAACAGTATTTCAATTCTCATAGTATTAATTCTAAATATCTTTCATTATTATGTAACCCTTAGAAAAAATCACAAATTTTACAGTGCAAATGAATATTTTTGAATAAAAGTATGATTATAACAAAAAAAAAGGTTTATTAAGTTCGTGCTTTGCATTTTTTGGTTATTTTAAAATACTTAATAGAATCTGCAGTTTTAGATCAGTCTGTGTTCAAAATCACCTTTACCTACTAATCTCCCTGGATTATATTGATCAGGGAAGTATAATACATCAAGATGTATGAAAACTGATCCGAATTGAAGTTGTTATAACTATAATGAACATTCCTGCTACTCAGTTAATTGTAGCTACATTGGTTGTAGATCTCATTGAATGGATGGTTAAACCTCGGTCTTTGGCCTATAGCTTTTCTGTTTAGTTTATGTACAGTAAAAGGTGCTATTCAGTTTGAAATTTATTAAATAACACTTTTCATTAACATTTCAGGAAAGAAAAGTATTGATTCTTAACCTATTAGAGGAAACAAGATGATGACATTAATTCTGAGCATGTTAAGAAAAAATTGGGATGTTATTTACCCAAAGGTTTTGAAGAAGGTTAAGGATTGGATATGTGAACCACTGGACACTATTTGTTGGAAGTTTTTTTTTTTAATAGTAAGCAGATGACAGAAGATTGGAAGTTGGCTAATGTTATTCCTTTTTTTCACGGGAGGTGATATCTGTCCCAGAAGTTATAAGCCTATTAGTATTACAGCAGTGGTGTGAAAAGATTTTGAAAGCCTAATAAAAGATACTTTGCAAAATAATTTAACAACGTTTAAAATTTTATTGGATATCATGGTCTCGCATGGGGAGAATTTTGCCTTACTAATCTTTTGGCATTCTTTAAAAAGACTTCTACTAGGTGTGGATTTAATGTAGCTAGATTTTCAGAAAGCAATTGACAAGGTGCCACATGAAAGACTTCTTATAAAAATTATCTCTGTGTGTTTGGTGGGTAGTTTGGCTCATTGCTGGATGGAAGAAAGCAGAAAGTTGTTATAAATGGAACTCAATCAAACGAGGATACCTCTGGGGTTATTATTGGGAATTTTGCTCTTTTTGATTTACATCAATGATGTAGATGAAAGGATGGTCAATAAACTGTTTAATTTTGCTGATGATAATAAGGTTTTGGGTATTAATGGTGGTGAGAAGGATGCTGCTGCTTTATGGTCAATAAACTGTTTAAACTTGCTGATGATAAGGTTTTGGGTATTAATGGCTGTGAGAAGGATGCTGCTCCTTTACAAAAGGATTTTGGATTATTTGATAAGTTGGACAGATAAATGGCAGGTGACTTTTGATAAATGCAAGTTAGTGTATGAGTGATATCTTAATTTGAATTTTGAGTATAATTTTAATTGATGGAAATAACCTTAACAGTGCTATGGAAGAAAAGGACCTTATTGTTCAAAGTGATCAGTCTTTCAAGCAATCCAAGCAATGTGCTGTTGCTGCTGTAGAAAAGCAAATAGGATTTTAGGTTGCATCTACAAAAATATTGAATACAATTCTAAAGAGGTTATAATTTCATGACATAGATCATTGGTTAAGCCGCATTTGGATTATTATGTTCAGTTTTGGGCTCCTTACCTTTGGAAGGACATTACGTCATTGGAAAGGGTTCAGAGGAGGACTACTAGGATGGAAAGGTCAAGATCTCTGAAATTGTTTTCTCTTCAACTATGAAGAGATAGAGGGGATTTGCTTGAGGTGTTTAGGATTTTTAACGGAACTGATAGTGTTGATGCATCATCTTTTATCATACTTAATGATGAAAATGATAGGAGTAGTGGACAAAAGTATTAATTTTGGCATTGTATAAGTCATCTTCAACATAGGTAGCTTTATTTTTCTAACACTTAAGTAACAGATTGGTTAGCCCTTGGGATGTGGTGGATGCAGTTAATATAAGGAAGTTTAAATCAAGGCTCGATAAATACTTGAATGATAAAGGGCAAACTTTTAGTGTTATATTTTTAAGTTTAGTGGATGGGAGAGTCTAGATGAACCAACAGGTCCCCTGTTGTTCTTAAATTGTATGTATATGTAAGTTTAATATTAATAATGTGCATATGTATATATATATTGGTGAATATAGGATGTCTAGAAACTGAATTTTGCAGTAAACTGGGTTTTTGTTTTGCTTTCACTTATCTTGGTATATTGATTGATAATATTTGAACCATTTTGGACTAAAGTAAAAGAGAACATGAACTATTATTCTGTAAAGCACAATTTTCTATAGTTGAGAGTTACAGAGTTGCTCCTTGGGTATTGGTTTAGGTCACAAAAACATTTTGAAAGTAATATATTTATAAATTATTTTTACTTTTTTTCTACGAGTCTGAACTGTTGAGCATTATTCCTATGTAATGTACCCAAAAAATACATTAAATGAAAAAGATATAGTTATTATATGTGTGCTTTTTATTAAAATTATACAATTTACTCTGTAACTTGTATATAAAAGAGCATTTTTAATTAATATGTTACGATTTTAGGTGCATTTCCGTAATTTAATGTTAAGGTGCAAAAATAAAATTTAAATGGGAAATACGTGGAACTGTAGTGCTTTGATGACTCCAGAAAAGGCCTCAAGGGCTAAAAAAAAATGTCTATATTTTATGTTTGTTCATAAAAATAGGATAATTCATATTTCTTGAATTTTGTAATGTAAAGTTCTTGGTGGTATGACAATTGTCAGGTTTTTGTATTATATGTGGGTATTTAACTAATCCAGATTAGGGGCATTATGTTTGGAGGATGGGCGAGTAATATTTAAATAAAATATGCTGTGAATCTCGAGACTTCTGAAACTTTCTTTAGTGACATCTTACAGGTTTAAGTAAAACTGATATTTAGAACAAAATATCTATATAAGCCAGCATAGAGTGAGAGTGAAGTTATAAAAATATAACTCCAGTTAGAATAATGGTATGAGAGGCACATAAAGTATACAGGTTTTTTTTTTGTCCGACATAGTCACTACTATAAAACTGGGCAAGGTTCCCTGAAAGTTAGGACATCTAGTTACCTTAGATATGTATCCACTAAATAACATATGTACAGTGTTTTGTAAATTATTGTTTACAATACTGGGTAAAGTTAATAAGGTTCATTATACCTGCCTTTTATGTAGGTGTATTTTTATGTTACTTTGAGACATGCTAAAATAAATAGTTTAACAAATATTTTGATATTCTTTTTAATCTTATAACAATTCAAATAACACCAGTTTGCTGTAAAGAAACTGCTAGGATTTAGAAACTGGAAATGTAAAGATTTTGTTTCTTCTGAAAAGAAAAATAATATAAGAGGGGGGAAAACCAAACCACATAAAAACTATTTTCTAATTTTTTTGTTTCTGTACTTAAAAAAAAAGGTAAAAAGGTTATTCTATAAAAAATTATTAATTGTTTTGAAGATTTTAATATAAAATAATTAAAACACAATGTTCAGAGGGTGTACGAGATGGTAACTATGTAAGCCAGTACCCTATAGTGGGCTTTACTTTAGCTACTTCAAAAAGGATTTTAATACATATTTCATAATTTTTTTGTCTTTTAAATACTACTGAAAAGTACTTAGCTCAGAGGCTACAAAACTGATAGAGATAATTTTTTTAAAAGACTACGATACAGTTAATTATATATATATATTTATTTGTTGAGATAAGCAATAATACATATTATGGACTTAAATCATAAGATCCTTCCACATGATCTCCTGCTTCAGTTAGCCTGGTTGTAATAGTGATGTCAGGATATTTTACTTTAAAGACATACTAAGCAGGTTACACAAACTAAGTACAGAAACTACAGTGACAAAAATATTTCAATTCAAGAAGGTGAAATATAAAGATGTCCCCTCCCCTTTTTTTGTGCAGTAAAATGAAATTAGAGATAAAATATCCAAATACTAATAAACAACCCTATAACACCAAATTTATTATTTTGCTTCTTTAATTATATATTTAACAGCTTCTTTAGGGAAGTTCTACTAAACCACAAACTGTAACTGACAGTACGTAGATTTACTTGGTTTAAATAGTAAATTCTAATCAAATCAGTAGTGTGTGTTTGACATTTTAAGTGGTAAAGCTTATTGTTGATACAATAAACTGCTGCCTATAGTAAACAATAGTTTTATCTAAATTACAAATTGAAATAAAAGATGAAAATAATTATAATTATAGGTGTCTTCCTTTGTCCTTGGTCATCTGTGGTCATAGTTGTTTGACGATAAGAGCTTCTTTATTTTTTTTTTAGTGTACTTGGCTTTGGTAAGGATTTATTTAGAAAATTGTGGATTCATACTAGGAGTTATTTGTCCATTTACAGTTTGTATTTTAGTAGAATGCTCCTGAAGAAGCCTTAAAGCGAAATTAGAGAAAAAATAATATATTTGGTCTTAAAAGATTGTTCATTATTACTAGTATTAAAACGTCTTTTGTATGCCAGTATGCGCAATAGAAATTAAATAATGTGTATCTAACTACTGTTAAACAGATAAGATTTTCTACATTTTTTTAACTTGAGCCGATTCAACTGTGAAACTTGTGTTTTATTAGATGGTATTTGAAAAAAATGCTGTATTAGTGCAGAATAAAGACCACCCAAATTTAGGAAATTTTGCTTCAATTAGTTTAATGACTGTGTTAAAACGGAGGGACAATTTGTTATTTTGATTTTTAACCAACTTTTGTGCCGTCCTTTTTCCTAACTTGTTAGTACATTAAATTATTATTTTTGGAGAAAATAAAAGGTAAGTTAAAAAATACAGTGCAGTAGGATGTTAAAAGAAAATATTTGTAGTTTCAAGTATTAGCTTCTAAATAATCCTTAAAATTAAGTTCTTTCTAGGGTAATCAAGATGCTTCTAAGTTTATATAATTTCCTTATTTATCATGTATGCCTGACTTGTTAATAGGATTTTTTACTTATTTCCACAATTTTCAAATATTGTACTCTTATCTAATCCTAAATCAACCTTTTAGACTTGTAGATATTCCTTTTTATTTTGTTCCTATCAATGTTTAACACTTCTATATCATATACTTATGTACCAATCTTAACACATATCTTTGAGGATATTTTAAGAATTGTTTCATCAAACGTCGTTAATGTTTAAGATGCGTTAAGTAATAATTTCAAAAAACTTTTAAAATCTAGCAAATTTATTTGGATATTGTTTTCGTACGTGTCCTTTTACTGATTTGTTGTTTTAGTAAATAAGCAATACAAAACTTTATTTTTCATAGCTTGTCTAGTGATATTATTAGCGTGTACCACAACTGAATGTAAAATAAAAAAAAGCTGACATGCTGAATTAGGACTATACAGGAGAACTTGTGTGGGAAAAAAAATTTATTTACAGCTATTATTTCACCAAAATGTATGATGCCTGAAAGTAGCGTAAATAATTGCGTTTGAGGTCGAAAATTTCTTTAATTTAGGCTTTATCAACGGGACTGTTTTAAGTTTCGGCATTTTTGTAAATACGGATTTATTATATTACATTCACATGGCAAGGTATATTGTATCAGACTCACTTTACCCCATTGTATATCTTAACTGTGGTTAAAAAATGAGATAAGGATTCTTGTTAGTTAATACAGATACTTTTAAATCCTTTCGGTTTTCTGATATTACTGACATCTACTCAATATCGGCAAGGTATATTGTATCAGACTCACTTTACCCCATTGTATATCTTAACTGTGGTTAAAAAATGAGATAAGGATTCTTGTTAGTTAATACAGATACTTTTAAATCCTTTCGGTTTTCTGATATTACTGACATCTACTCAATATCGGCAAGGTATATTGTATCAGACTCACTTTACCACATTGTATATCTTAACTGTGGTTAAAAAATGAGATAAGGATTCTTGTTAGTTAATACAGATACTTTTAAATGTTTTCTGATATTACTGACATCTACTCAATATCGTTGTGCAGTTTCATGCTCTCTGACTAATTTTTTTAATGCTAGTTATAATAGTGTGACCAGAAATAATTGATTGTTAAACTTTCAGTCTGTTTTAAAGTACACTCTATAAAAAATATATATATTCATTAAAAAAGCAGACATTTTCATGCAGTGAATTTATTATGACTTTCTTTCAATTTAAATTAATTGATGAAAATAATTCGAAGTTCAGTCCATGTAATGATAACAAATTAATTTATTCTTTTCGTAACATCCTGCAACCTTGTATACTGTTGTACTTTAGGCCTAAGCTTATAAACAATGTTCACATGGAAATACCTTCCCAACGATACTAGGACTAATGTAAAAAAGTAAGTGATTGAGTAAGTGAATGTACACGATAACTAACAATGATACAAATACTCCATGGAACTGACTGACTCAATACTCCTTCACTGATTACTCATATTTTTGTGTGTGTAGCCTAATTTCTAGACACTTTGCCTAGATTCTGAATATTCTAGAACTTATTTGATCTTAACATAATGCACTCTCTAGCTAACATCTAAATTACAATATTTAAAATATAGCCTACAAAAATAAGTATATTTTACAGTATTTGCCAATTTCCTGGAGAACTGGGGCATACCAACTTTTTATGTAACATGAAGTGCCTCGGATTAATATTGTCTCACAGAAACATGGCAAAAAAAACGTTAAAAGCCAATAGGCCTTTGATTTTAAACCTGCAATAGACAAGTTAAATGGAAAGTGGAAAAAAACCTGTAGTTTGCCCCTGATGAAGAAATGCCCTCCTCTTGAAAGCATTTAGGTTATTATAGGGTTTTATACTTCTGTACTGCAAATATACCTGTGTACTATCTAAAACTCATAATACATGTTTAAGATCAAAGCAAGGAAAACAAAGACACAGACTTATAATCAAAAGTTTATTTGAGATCTTCCATCTTTCCAAAACTCCAAGATCCAGCAATGCACAGGTTTTAACTTTCACACACATTCACTCAAAATGTACATTTTTTTTAATACTTGCTATCCTTTTTTTTTATGCTAGTTACCAAAAAAATACATTTACTATACAATTAGGTTTGGTATATTTGTTCGAACAACATGTTCATGGCCTTGTTAATGTATATATATATATATATATATCCAAATATTAATTAAATGCTATATCTTGTTTGGATAGAAGCAACCACCCGTAACAGCAGTGAGTATTTTCAAATATCTAATTTTCTCATCAATAGCTTCAACCTCATGAAGATATTATTAACTATCTTAACGTATATATATATTATATATTTAACTATTGGCACATTATCTTCCCCAATGGAAGGACTCTTCTTTGATCTTGTATAAATAATACTCCAGAAAAATAATTGTATAAACTTGTGACTGTAGTCTTATCACTTTGTGAACAGGTGGAAACTCAATATACACATGTGGATATAAAATTGAAATCTGAGTTACTTCAGTGTTAAGTTAAAATATTACCAAATCAACATATAAATTTCATACCAAGTGTAATATTTTCCAATCAACTAAGGTGTGTCTAATACTTGTCTCTTTCGAGTGCTCGGCAACGAATAACTAACTAGTTACCCACATAGTTCAAGTATGTTCCATTTTTAAAATGTGAGATATAAAAACCAGTCTCGTGTAGAAAGAAAAAAGCCTCTGTGGAATAAAAGTGTAGACATTTTGTCTTATAAGAATGACTTAATGTATTTTTTTACATGCAGCATTTTGATCGACAGCCACGTTTATCATTACTTATACATTTAAAAACTACAGTCTGGAGAAAAACTAGGTCACTGTTTCATGGCTATACTTAGCCATTTATAAGTGATTATCCCAAACTACATCTTATTCTCTGGTTCCTTCCTCATGAATATTTTTAGGGTTACTTTCTTCACATCAAATAATTCCTACAGGATATTTTGTGGATTTCCCATCACCTGCCAAGTTGCCTTTGGCTTGTTGGAGCACCAGGCAGGTCTTAGTTACTGAAAATAAATTAATTTAAAGATTTGACGAGCTAGCTGAGAATTGTGACATAAAAATAATTTTACAAATATTAATCAGAAATTATATTCAGTTACTTGAGTTATTATATTCATAATTACAATCTGTTAATTATTGAAATATAATAAAGACAAAGTATTACTTGATCAAAACAATTAAATAATTCTAACATGATGTTCCCAGATTTTCTAAAGTATCTCTTACTTTTGTATACAATAACTTTGATCCGAAAAAAAATAAAAAAAGTTGCCGAGGCAATTAATAATGTTCTTAGGAATTAAAATTACAACTTAAATTCTTTTAAAAAAATTGTTTGGTTTTAGGGTATATAAGACACTATATAATAATCACTTTTCACTTACATTGTCTTGTAATAGCCCTTTCCATTCCATCTTTTTCTCGTTTAACAACCTAAACGTAGGCATAAATAGTTCAAGTATTAACTTTTAGTTAGCTACATATATAAAAGTTACAAAAACAAACATTTGTGCAAACACTGACAAAATTTATTAGGTACTATATACTAAATTGAAGGATTCCTCCAAAATTATTGTGTTGATACAATTTGAAAGAAGTACATTTCTTCCTATCTTCAGTGCTAATGTCATCAGAAAACCCTTGAAATGTGATTTCTAATAGTTTCTATCTAATCAACTCAATTCATGCATTAATCAGAAAAAACATATAATCCCAAAAACTAATTTGTTTTCTAGTGACATTTGATACTGTACTTACAGCAAGCTTCTTTGTAGTTTCTTCCAACTGTTTTTTTACTTCACTCAGCTCTTCTTGTAACTTCTGATTCTGCCAAAAAATAATTTCTTTGTAAAATAACACTACTTTATAGAACTAAACAATTATAAAAAGCAGAACATATTTCAAAACCTACTGCTTTCTTTCAAACTTTTGAATTTTGTTGAAACATATTTACTCATTTATATATAACCTAAAAACTTAATAATGTGGTTTTAGTAAAAAATTCATTCTGTTTCTATGTATTTAAATTTAAAATGTTATGAGATAAGCTGTAGATCACAACTGCCAGCAAACTGACTTCTAATTTATAGCATATAACTAAAATAACTTACTAGCACTGTGGTGGGGAAAATTCTAAATTAGTTAAAATTTCATTATGATTTTCATAAAGTAACAGTGGGCAAATATTCAAAGAAATAAATCGTTTGAGTGACTTAACAGAGATAAGAGTCCTACAAACTGTAGGAAGTGTAACAATGTGTGTATTTCTGAGCTGTAAATATATCAATGATTGATCCCCAACCGTCATAAATACTGAGGATGCCCTTTATTTTTAATTAAGTTTAAGTTCTATTTTTTTTCAGTTGCATGTTTAAACCTTATAACTGTCCTGTCTGATAATTTAAATCTGTACATGGTGTCAGAAGAGATATAGATTTTTTAAAATGTGAAACACAAAAATATTTACAGCAAAAGTGCCACCAGTCCTGGAAAAATTAGTACTGATAGGCAAACTTAAATCAAATTGGAAAGCATTCAAACAGTAGTGGAAAGTCTATGAAATAGTGTCTTTGAGAAAGTGAGTACTAGAGCTGACTGATTAACCTGACTAATTAATATAACCAGTTATCTATGAAAACAGATGCAGTGTTTTGTAAATTAACTGATTAATCAAAATTTCTTACATCAATTAATATCATGAAAATAATTAACTAATGAAATTAGTGTCTCTGATTATTGCTATTTTTGATTATTCAAACTACCCAAGAAATCAGACTATATAATTTTTCATTGTTACTTTCAATTAATTCAGGATTGTTAAGCTTATTTATTAGTGTCATCGCTCGTGAAATTACAAACTGATCAAAATTAATGTTTCCAATATTACTGTTTTTGATTATTCCAAATATCCAAGTTTTGTGTGACTGATGATTAAATTCCAAAATAATTCAGCCGTTGCGAGTTGCTGTGTTTGTAATGTTTTGAGAGTGATGTGCTGGACATCTATAAAGAAGAGGGCTTGAGAAATTGGATAACTTCTCTATTGAAAAAAATGAATTAGGCAGAAAATTGGCACAATATTTTAACTACAGAGATCAAAAAGAAATAATGATCAGAGATAGAATAGGTACAATGATTAATAATTAAAATACTAGAGCGAGAGACAACATTAATGTTACAGCAGTGCATTGAAATATACAGAGAACAGGAACAGTCAACATTTCAAGTATAAGTCATAGAACAGGAACAGTGAACATTAATGTTACAGTAGTGCGTTGAAATATACAGAGAACAGGAACAATCAACATTTCAAGTATAAGCCATAGAACAGGAACAGTCCACATTAATGTTACAGCAGTGCGTTGAAATATACAGAGAACAGGAACAATCAACATTTCAAGTATAAGCCATAGAACAGGAACAGTCCACATTAATGTTACAGCAGTGCGTTGAAATATACAGAGAACAGGAACAATCAACATTTCAAGTATAAGTCATAGAACAGGAACAGTGAACATTAATGTTACAGTAGTGCGTTGAAATATACAGAGAACAGGAACAATCAACATTTCAAGTATAAGCCATAGAACAGGAACAGTCCACATTAATGTTACAGCAGTGTATTGAAATATACAGGAACAGTTAACATTTCAAGTATCAATCATAGAACAGGAACAGTCAACATTCCAAGTATCAATCATAGAACAGTAACAATCAACATTCCAAGTATCAATCATAGAACAGGAACAGTCAACATTTCAAGTATCAATCAGGTCAGGCAAAGAAGAATTGCTTGTTCAAACAACAAATGTAAAAATTCCATTGAAATTAAAGAACAGTTACAGTTTTGGTAGAAGTAAAAGATAAGGTGGAGGAGAGAGATAAAAGAGAAAAATGTGTATAAAAAGAGTAGAACGATACATGAAATGTTCAACTGTCTAAAATATGGCAAAAAATACACACATATTGTAAAGGGAAAAATTGCTTTAAGGGGTGTTGGAAAAACAAGTAAAAGATGATGAAAACAAAATCTATGTGAGAATAGATGTGATGACTGGAAACCAACTCATTTTTTGCTGGAGAAAATCAAAGGTAATGAGTGTTTAGTAAATATGGGGGAGTGTAAAAAATCAAATAATAAAGTGTTACGGGCACAAGTGAATGTAAACCAGTTGTATACTTAGGCCATAGTATACGAAAGGATGCTTTAAAACTACACCCATAAGAAATATGAGCCATCGTAGAAATGCCAAAACCAAAAGTGAAAAAAAAAAAAAGATTCTCAGGTGCAGTGAACAATCTTAAAATTCATTCTGCCACTCACAACAATAATGAGTTCGATACGAAGACTCCTAAAGGAAGAAATGGCATTAACATAGGGAAGAAAAAAAAGGAAAAAGCTTTTGAGGAAAAAATAAAAATACTGACCAAAAAAACTGAGGCCTGTACTAGAGTTTTTGACATTGATAAGTCAGGAGTGATTGTGATGAATCAAAAAAGGAATTAGGAGCAACAATCTATCAAGAAGAAAATCAACTAGTTATGAATTAAGAGTCATGACTGAAATTGAATAAGGATACATACAACTCAAACACGTTAGTATTTGCCATGGAAAAATTTGATCAGCCTACATATTCTCATTGTATTTTTTAAGAATCTGAAGGCCCAAATTATACAATTTTTTTTTTTTTTGGCAGCTGAATTTTACTTCCTACCATGATGCCAACGGCTGCAGCATCTCCAAAGTTATAAAACACTATACTGCATTTACAGAAAATATAAATTTGGCTTAATATTTAAACCTGTGAAGGACATGATAGTTTCAGACTTGTCAATACAGGTGGGTGAGCCAGAAATTTTCAGCGTTGAGCTGAGCTATGTCACTGACTTGGATCTACAAGCCAAGTCAAAAAAACATATACATATGATTAAAAAATACTATAGAGACTGAACAGAATGAACATTTTATTCAATGCAAATGCATTTTGGAATGATAAGAAAATTTTGCAGCTTATTTTCTGTATTTTAACTAAAATTATAAGTCTAATATTAAATATGTTAATACTGTGTAAAAAAGTTTAGCATCCTGCTTTTAACTTATATCATTAATTATAAGGCTGCATTGGCACACCTTTCTTTCTCTTTAATTTATATCCATTTTCACGTATGCGGTCTGACTCGCTCATCAACTTTTTCAAACATTTCTCGGCCCAGTTTGAGCTGATTAAATATTTGTGTGCCAAAGCTAAAAAATACCCTCCATTTTTAGTTAAGTCTAAAGTTTTTCAATTAAGTCTTAAGTGCCAAAGCTAAACAAAGAATATCTCATCAGATATTAACAGAAAGGGAAACAGGAAAAAGTTCAAAGTAAAGTAAACACACACACACCAAGATCATACAATATCGTAAGTAAAAATGGAACAGACTACAGATGAAACAACAGCTGGAAAAGATGAAAATTACCAAAAACAAAACTGTTGAGAACAAAGAAAGATCTAGGAGAATGACTATAAATACCGCTGCTCTCCTACTGTGACCACAATGATACAAACACACCAGCCGTGATGACACATAGTTGTAGTGTATTTCAAAAAACAATAGGATTAATGATTATGAACTTTAAAATGGGGATTTTTAATTATATGTGTATTGTTGGTTTTTAAATAAATTTATCACAAACTTCATAACTACTGAAAGTACCCTCAATTTTTAGTTAAAACTTTTGGCAGTTGCACATTGTTATAAAATTGAACAAAAGACTTGATTTAAGCAAGTTTAAACCTTATAACTGTTTCGTCTGATCTCTTTAATTATTACAGACAGCACTTATGATCTGCTGCTCAGTATGTTTAGATATTATAAAAGTTTAATTTTATAAATTACAGTACAATAAATTATATCAACACAATTTATCTATGGCTTCTGTTATAAGCCAAACAAACCGTTTATATTTTGTAAGGATTTACCAGTTTAAGCATTGGAAATTATTTTGAAAAAGTACTTGAGATGCTTTAAAGAATATATATATACACAAGTTCTTCTACCCTTTCACAGCAGTGTTGCTGATTTATTCTGAGTAGATATTGTCTACCGAGTTTACTAATATTTTCCATAATATGATTTTAGTCTAATTACTACAACTATGCATTAAAACTGCTTACCTAATGAACACATTGCTCACAATATTTCTTAATGACATCTTGATCATCACAAAATATTAGACCATTTTGACTGTGAGTTTAAAAGTAACACTACAGCTGAAACTGAGTCTCAGCCAGACTATCTATTTCTTGCTCACCTCTTTATTCAGAGAACTAACTGCAAAAGACCTGACAGCTTTCTTTGAAGGTAGTGATGCTAACTGGAAACAATTGATTATGTTCCAGGATTTCTCCAGACATCTGTCCACATCACTACAGCTGGAGTAAATATCTTTTAATGTGTTATATTCTAAATTCTGAAAGAAGAAAGAATTCTTTATTTTAAACTAAGCATATGTTTGGTCAACTTAAAATGACTTCAGTTTTGTTTTCATTTAAGTGAAATCCTACTTTTTTTTTTGTTATCTTTCCTTAACATAAAAAATACAAACACAAGCAGTTAACTTCATGAGTATAAAGCTTCTGACCATAAGTAAAGTTGACCTCTATTAGCTATTAAGCAAAAATTTTATTTATTCTACAAATTTCAACAGATTAAATTAATATATAAAATTATGACATTCCTTTGAGGTTGGCCTCCCAGTGGCACAGGGGTATGTCTGCAGACTTACAATGCTAGAAACCGGGTTTCGATACCCGTGGTAGGCAGAGCACAGATAGCCCATTGTGTAGCTTTGTGCTTAATTACAAACAAACCTTTCAGGTTGATTTCGGAAACGTTATTAATTTACTTTCCACAAGAACATGATCACTGAAAAATTAATTTAAGCCATTCCCTATTCTACTAATTAATCAGATTTGTTTCTTATTAATCACAAATCCACAAAATAGGCTATTTGTGCTGTGCTCACGGTGAGTATCAAAAACTCAAATTTTAGCGTCATAAGCCCAGACTTACTGCTGAACCACTGGAGGTCTAATTAATAAGAAATAATAAGTATAAATATCAAATTTTTGTCTCTAGAATTAAGTAAGATAAAACAACTGAGCTGTAGTTCTAGAATACATATATGATTAAGTCTAATACATAAATGTGCAATAGCTAAACAAATTTGATGTTAACAGCTGATCAAATTCACAACACTTGGGAAGTAGATGAGTATAGTGAGAATATACCTTCACTGAATACCATTTAATTAGTTGAAGCTGATTAAACACACAAGTTTTCGTTTTATTATTTGATAAATGCATATATATATATATGTATGAACAAAGGGCAATTCCTTTGTTGAGTATGTACCATCTTAGTAGTTACAGCTGATTAAACATTTAAAATTCCAGGGAGTCACTTTTAGAGAGTACAAGTATGATAGAATCCTTACTTTTATGGAGTACTATCATATTATTAAAAACTGGTTACACTTACTATATATTCCATGGTCTTAATAAGAAATTGTACAGTTATGGAAAGGGTCACCAAATGTACCAGGGATCATCTAACTGGTTAAAATTACACAGTATTACTTAGGATATGTACGTGCAAGATGAGTTTGTTTTGAATTTTGTGCAAAGCTACTCAAGGGCTATCTGTGCTAGCCTTCCCTAATTTTGAAGCGATAGACAAGAGGGAAAGAAGCTAGTCAACACCATCAACTGCCAAAACCCTTGGACTACTCTTTACCAATGAATAGTGGGATTGAAGGTCATATTATAATGTCCCCAGAGCTGAAAGTGCAAACAAGTTCAGGGAAAGGATTTAAACACACTATTATCAGATTGCAAACTAAGTGCCCTAACCAAGCATGGAGTGAGAGTCAGTACTGTTACTGAGTGCCAACCAAACTTACTAAAGGCTGGTCACCAGGGCTTAAAACATTTTCTTAAGTATCGATTTACAGAATAAAGATACAAAAAAATTCTTTGTGATAACTGATAGCTAGCTAATGAACAAAATCTTTCAAAATTATTTTCTTAATGGTATCCCCTTGTAAGTCTTAACATAAAACTTAGCTAAAAATATTTTCTTTTTTTTTTCATCTTACAGACTTAGTAGACTCACTAAGACTTGACTTAGAGCTTATATAGTTAGGGAGTTCAGCTTATTCCTGACCTGAGCAATCACACCTCTCAGTAGAACAAGACTTTCTCTTATTTCTTTCTTTAGTAACTGGTAGTCCTTAAGCCGACACGTAGCATGTGGCTCTCCTTCCCCTAATTCAGGAACAGATGCTGAGAAACCATGCCCACTTAGACCTAAAAAGACCAAAATGACACTGACCACAGGTATAATAACTGATGTGTTAATTTTACAGTTGTCAATAATATAGCTATGAATGTTCCACTAAGTCCTTTTCTAGCAGAAAGTCTTCGTAAAAGGAAATTATTCTAGAATATTTACGACTGTTCATAGGCTTTGTTCAGTTTCCTGACCAATGAAAACAAAATATTTGCATCCAAACTCACAAAGGGGATTAAGTTTCATAAAAATTTTTACTATTATTTGACACAAGACAATAAAATGAGAAACTTTTTAAGCAAAAAAAAAGAATATGATCAGTAATTTTTTTTTATTCTTTTGTAAACTCTGTCATTTATTACTCTTTTACAACACTACCACTATTAATAAAGTACATTGTACTGAAAAGGACAATGTAATAAGTACTTCTCAACATGAACTTGTGTACGATTTCTTGTTAATATTCGGGAAAACATATATATATATATATATCTAAAGAAAATCATTTTAATGAAAATGTACTGAACAAGTTACAATTATTTAACAACAATTTTTTTCTCCATGATATGTTAACTATAAAATGAAACAGACTTTAATAGTGATGATTTTTCATAAGACCAAGTTTTTACTATTTATTTAGTAGGTATTACCTTTGCAGGTCAATCAGTACACAAGTCACTTAAGACTTAATACAGAAACGTTGTCAAGCCCATTCCAAGATTTCCTGAGGTTTAGATACTAAATTATTCAGTTTCACATTTATCATGCAGTATGGTTAAAAACTTTATGTACTCAAAGTAACTTATAACACATTATTTTATTTAGCTAATCATCTTTAAAATAACTTTACCTGCAGTATCAAGTGGAAGTTGTTCTCCAGCAAATGTTCTGTTTATCTTCGAGTTTTCATTTGTCTTTCTTTTCCTTACAAGCTGGATTGTAACAGAGCGTTTGGATGATACAGCTACAGCAAGTTTATTCCAGGTTGTAAATACAGGCTCCTCTCTATCCCCACCTTCATGATTTGGATCTGACTCTATACCAAGGTCAGGAGAAGAATTGCAAGGTCTTCCAGTAACAGACAGTTCAGTACCATTGGAGTCATGTCGAAATCCTTCTTTTTCAGTACTGGACTGATGGCAAGAGCCATCTGAGGATTCCAAGCTCTTTGTTTGTTTAATTGGATAATGATCCAGTATATCTTTAGGTAAGACTGTAAGAGACAGAGTTTCATAGTCACCACTACTGACTGAACACTGTCGAATAAAGGGTTTTTCGCAAAGTTCATTATTTTCTGCATCATATGTAGATATATGGTGTTGGAGAGATCCTTCTGAACTGCTGGCATCTGTGGTAGTTGGACTGTTCAATAAATGATCTCCATGCAATTCTTTTCTGATAGAACTCGCACCCATATCTGTGTGTGTCTTATTTTCACTTCCGTTCTTGAAAGTCCAATGAGTTGGGTGATTTATAGGTTCACGGAACCCACTGAGATGAAAATAGGGATTTTTGTCTCCAGCAGAAGACAGTGAACTTTCTGGACTGCTGGGTTCTAAGCTTTCTGATTGTGTATTAGTTGTATGTGTGTAACTACCAGTGCTAGCCAAAGACAGAGTACTGGCAGGGGAGATGGACTGCTCGCTACCCAATCCTAAAGCAATGAAATAGTATTTAAGGTTTCTTAATTAAATTACAGAGAGTACACATGACAGACAATTATCAAAGTGTAAACTAGGCCTTATCTTACAAAGAAAATTATATAAAATGAAAAATTTAACATTATTTTTAAAAGAGTTAAATGCACAATAACTTTTTATTGTAAATACATGTTGATTAAAATCAAATATTAGAAATTTGTTTAGAAATATTGTTGAAAATATCATGTAGTGTTGCATTTAAATATTTATTTTGATAATCGTAAAGAAATTATAATTTCTGAAGATATAAACACTTTTTACAAAAACTATATTTATGTAAAACAAACAATACAACTTAGAACATAAAACAGTTCACAAGGGGATGACTTCCTGATAGTATGTAACAAGACGAAAACACAGGAGTGAAGAATACCATTTGGAATGTTCCAGACAATTACTGTCTAAAAATTAGGAACAGAAACTACAGGAAAAAATAGTTGATCTACAGGCATTATTCCTTTTAGGTCATGGATTAGTTATTGAAAAAAAAATGTAAAAGTAATAGCCAAAAAAAAATATGAACTATAAACCTTTGCACTGATACAAACAAAGTTCTAATTCAGTGTCACAATAATTTACAGATTTTAATAAGGCCTCAGATAGAAATACATAGGTTGCTAAACAAATCCAAAAAACAAAAAAAAGAGGCACAAGAAAGTCTTTAAAAATTGGCCAAGATATGAAATAAGTATCTAAAAAGAAACTTTTTCAAACAGAATAATTGAAACGATTCCAAGATGTTTTATACAAGATAATTGTGCTTTCCATACACATGGGTATAAATGTTATGAAACTGCAATGTGAACTTCGGTGTATATTTTGGTGGTTTATAAAAACCGTTTGCATTAAAAAAAAAAAAGTTAAGATGTATTCTGACCTTGTGTACTGGAATTAATCCCTTCTTTCCTGCTTGTACATTGTTTAATGTCTCTATGAAGTCTTCTGTTGAAATCAGTGCTCTTGGTAAGAGCTATTCGCAACGGTTGTAGTTCTTCAACAAGTTCAAGAAGCAATGTTTTGTTTGTTTCTTCTGCCTGGTCTATAAGTTCATGTATGGAAAGAATATATGACATACAATCCCAAACCATATTTTTCTAACTTTTATACATGCACAATCATAACCTCAAAACAGAAATTTTCGTATTTCATAAATAATAAGGAATATTTTATTGCAAAAAAATATTTTTCTGCCTTAGCGCAGGATAAAGTCAAATATTTTTATGAGTGTTGCTGAGTATAGACACACAGTTCTAGATAAAATTATAACTGTTAACTTATGAAGTTAAAAATTACCATACATGCATGAGAAATTAGATAAGAAAACATAATCAAGTCACTATTAATTCACAATCTAAAATCACATTTTTTATCATCCTCTACCCACTTTTAGTCAATTATTCTACGCATGATGACTCATTGCAGTCATTGACAAAGTTTTTATTGGAGAATTTTTCTAACCTTTCATGCATTTCACCTTTTATTTGCACAAAACTATGATGGAACCAAGTTTTCAGTGCATAGAAGCCAATGAATTTCAAAGTAAAAACTAACCAGTCAATAAAACAGAAGTTTAGAAGCAACAGTTATAACTGGACCTATCATAAAACTTTGACACATCTTTTACCTTTCAGAGATCAAGGATAAATAAACACAACTAGTGTTTAAATGTTTAAAACCAGGTGATCAAGATTGTGTCATGATTTATGTTTAAAACCAGGTGATCAAGATTGTGTCATGATTTATGTTTAAAGCCAAGTGATCAAGATCGTATCATGATTTATGTTTAAAACCATGTGTTCAAGATCGTATCATGATTTGTGTTTAAAACCAAGTGTTCAAGATTGTGTCATGATTTATGTTTAAAACCAGGTGATCAAGAATGTATCATGATATATGTTTAAAACCAAGTGATCAAGATCGTATCATGATTTATGTTTAAAACCAGGTGATCAAGATCGTGGCATGATTTATGTTTAAAACCAAGTGATCAAGATTATGTCATGATTTATGTTTAAAACCAAGTGATGAAGATTAATCTTGATCACTTGGTTTTAAACATAAATCATGACACATGTCATGATTTATATTTAAAACCAAGTGATCATGATCATGTCATGATTTATATTTAAAACCAAGTGATCAAGATTGTGTGCAAGGCTCAAAATCTAGCTGGTTTATTTCAGGTAGACTTCTAATTAAAAGTGAGTTCTGTTTGTTTTTTATATATTTAATGGTTCTTTAAAAAATTCATTTTGGTCATCTGTTTTGTTTTGTTTTCTTCCCAATGTCATTACACAGTATAAATGTAAAGCTAAATTTAATTAAATAGTTTGGTTTACCTTCTACAGAAGCAAGGTCCTCTTTCTGAACACCTAACTTATCCGCAGCTTTCAGCTCTAGCTGTAGGCATTTATTTAATTGTGTTACTTCTTCTAACCTCTGCTGAGTAGTGTTCAGTTCCTCTTCCAACCTATAAGAAAATATCTTACCATGATAATCTGCACTCTACAACACTCCTCCCATGACAGTTTTTCAGTAAAAATTCCCCAAGCCTGGTCATAGGTTGTAAGAATCATTAATTTCTTACTACACATGACGCAACTACAACTAAATAATTTTCAGATAAGAAGTTCTTTTGGAAACAAGTCAGCTTACATTAAAAAAGTAATATATTAAAATTTAAAACCATGGAATTAACTTCCCCGGAAGGTACTACTGAATTCTTTTCTTCAGTCGATCCTGCTGCCAGCATTTTACTAACAATACAGAAATCATCTATCGTATCATGTTGATAGTATAACTTACCACAAAGTGTGAGAACTGGCTGATAGATATAGTAAGAAGGCTGGACAGCTCCAAACTCTTACAATGAAACATTATAAAGAAATAAACAAAGAACCCCAAACAAATTAATGATAGAAAAAAATATATAAATATTACTTGTTTGTAAAATTACAAATGCAACAAAAAAATAATAAACTAAATTAGAAAGAGTGATGCCAATCTCGATTATAGTACAGCCTTTTATCAGTTGATTATCACATACCTGGATTTGTCTTTCAGGAACTCTGCAAGCCTGATTCCTGAGAAATCATCTTTGCCATCAGGTTTGCTTCTACTCTGCTTCAGGTGCTTCATCTCTTCTTCCAAATTATTTACCTTAATCTCAAGCTCACTTTTCTCACTTACTGCCTCTGTGAACTGCAGTTCCCTTTCGTGGATGGTTTCCTGTAGTTCTATATTTCTGTCATTAAGTTTTTTCAGTTCTTCATCCCTTAGTTTTAACTTTAGTTTTAAATCCTGTTCCGTTTCCGCCAGTTCTATGACCTCTTGTTCTTTTATCTTAATTTGTTGTTCAAGATCTTTTCTTCTTGTTTCAAACTGTTCAGTTTCATCCTTAAGACCCTTTTCTAACTTAAAACATTTTTCTGTAGATATTTCAAGTTCTTTTTGCTTAAGTTGAATTTCACATTCAAGCCACGATGCTTTTTCAGTTAACTTCTGTACTCTATCATCCCTGGACCACAGCTGTTCCTCCAGCCAAGTACATTTACGATACATTTCTGTAAGCTGATGTTGACTTATAAGATGCTGTTTCTCTGCTTCAGAAGCTTTTGTTTCTGAATAGATTTGTGAATTTTGCAGCTTCTGCTCCAGTTCTGAACATGTCTTGTCTGTTTTTTCCTGTGAAGAGATTAACTCTGCTCTAAGCTGAAAAATTGTTTCATTTGAGGTGTGAGATTGTTCTTGGAGTTCTAATATTTTAAAATTTAACAGTGATTTATCTTCTTCAAGACAATCGACTTGCTTCTCTTTCAAAATTAGCTGAGTGTGTAAATTCTCATTTCTGTTAATCAAGTCTCTCATGTCCATATCCTTTCTAATCATTTCTTTCTCTAGGCAAACATACTTTTGCTCCTTCTCTGTACTCCTCTTGTATTTTTCTTCAAGTTCGTTTAAGTGTTTGCCAGTTTGTTGAACTAAAGTCTCAAGAGTTAAGTTCTGTTTTTCAAGTTTTTCATTCTTTTTTTCTAAATCTTTGCATTGAACTTCTTTCTCTTTTATTTCCTTTTGAAGCCTCAAGTTCCAATTCTGGACTTGCTTACATTCCTTTTGCCTTGCTTCCAATTCATTTTCCATAACAGCTCTCATGTCTTCAGAATGTTTGCTTTGTTGATCTTTTTCAAGAAGACGAGACCTTAAGTCTGTAATATTTTCAACGAGATGCTGAAGTCTCATGTGAACTTGCTGATGCAGGTGACCTCTTGAGCTCATTTCCTTCTCCAACTGATCTTTTTCATCCATAAGCTTTGTGTATGCTACTTCTTTTTCCTTAATTTCTCTTTCCATTTCTTGAAGTAAAGAACGACAAGATGTAAGTTCCTTCTGACATGATGCTAACTCTTGTTCCTTATGTATTGCATCTATTTTATACTGAGATAGAGTATCCTGAAGTTCTCTTTCCATGCTTGTTTTGGCTACAAGTTCTTGCTTGTATTTGTTAACTCTTTCTATGGCAATTTTATATTTTGTGTCCAAATCTCTAACATTTTTTTGCATACTTCCATGGGGGCCCACATGACGGAAATCTATATTTTTGCAAAAAAAAACAAAAAAAAAACTTCCATTACAAGACTAGCTCAACAACTGACAAATTAGGCTTGTATATAAAAGAAACAGCAGTAACCAGTATATGAAAGAAATGAAAAATCTTGTATATTAATGTATAACAAAAAGAAAGAAAAACACTAAATATTATGAAATGTATGAAACTGGACGAAAACCTATATCAAAATGAAATTTTTTAATGATATAACTACAAATACATAGCCATTAAGTTACTTTACTTTGCATTATTTACTTTTGTAGTTTTATAACACAAATATAGTTAAAAAATTTTACAGAAGTAAGCTCATAACGTTTGCTCACCTTATCATTTCTTTCTTTGATATCCTTAAATAAATTAAATTTTAATAGGGGGTTTCCAGTAAAAATTTCATTTTTAAATTGAACTTAGATAACTTGTTGTGACTTTTTTCTAGTGTATGTAGGGCAGCTCCTCTCAAAACTGATTTTCATATAACCATCATTCATTGTTAAAAGAATGATAATGTATAATGTAAAAGAACCAAATCACAGTCCTGAAAATGTATGTCTACAAAGTAAATAAATAATACCTAATTTTCCTTTCAATTTTTCTGTCAAGTTTTCATTAGAAGTGATAACCTTGTCGAGTTTTTCCTGTAGTATTTTCAGATACTGGTGATGTTCTTCCATCAATTCTCTAGAGATGACTTCTTTTGTCTTAAATTTCTGATAAAGGAAAATAACATATAACTATTTAAGTATTGATAAAGTTTTGAATAACCCAACCCATGAAAATAAGTGTAGCACAGGTTTATATAGTAATTTCACCAAATAAAATGAATATTATGGAAACTTTATTCCAAGTTATAAAGATAAAACCAATAGCAAAGTCTGTAAATCTAACAACAAAAAAAAGATGAAAATATATCTCCTACTAATGTGATTCATACACTATATAAAACCTGTTTCCAAGTAACCAAAATTTTATTTTAAAATTGTAATCTCTAATGTAGTGAAAACAAAATAATGTTAATGTATGTGTTAAGTCCATATTATGAGTCACAATAAAAATGGTTTCTAAACATTTTATAAGATCGGTAATATCTGAGAAAGTTAAAAAGCTTTTTTTTTTCTCTACTGACACACTGATTGATTAATTTTATATGAAAATTAAAAAATTGGTTAGTGTATTATATCACCTCTTCTGGTGAACCCAGCTCTGAAACTTTAGCCATCACTTGACCACTCAGTTCTTGAAGCACACTTAAATCATTGTGCAAGATTTCGCTGAGGCCTTCAATGTTCTGAAGATGTGACTTAATTTTCTGGAAACCTGCATGAGCTTTTTTCTTTCTTGGTTTATGAGCTAAAAAAATGTGAGCCACAAAAAATCACATATAGACTGGTAACCTTTCTTTTGTACTAAAAAATAAGACTAAAATGTAACACTGCAAGCCAAACTAAGAGAAACATCCCATAATCAGCAACTGAAATAGCAGTAATAACAACAACAATAGTACCTATAAAGTTATGAAAAATGTATTATGTTCTTGTAGAAAATGTGCACATTTTAGTTCCAAAAAATTTTTAATTTTCTTATTTAGTAAAGCTCTTTAAAAAGTAAAAAAAGAAAAAACTTGCTTGTATTTAATAATATTTATCCTGTAAAAAAAAGTCTCATGTTATCTTAAGGACCAAAAACTTTTAAATACAATTTTCCCTGTAGTAAAATGTATACTTCATCTACAACGAACAAATATATGTACCTGAACATACTTACACACATAGATCAAACAATCTGCATTAAACACTAAATAAACATGCTAGATATCAATGCATTAGTTTTTTAAATTATACTTGAAGTAATATGATAAGATATTAGCACAAGATAAGGTAAATAATGTCTAAAAGCAAAACTTCTAAAATCAAGCAATATTCTACGACTTTTAATAAAATAACTATATGCGATGCACAATCTTCATGCTTAAATAACTTAAAACAGAGAAATAGGACTGTTCCAACTACACAGACTGATAGCTTGCATGTTTGTCTTTTGCTTGGTAGTAAAAAGAAGTATGAAATATCATGGTTCAACTGGACATGCTTTATCAATAAAAATAAAACAAGCTATAAAGCAAATTTACAATATTATGCTTTTGCACATTCCCTACAACATGCAGTGCAAAGCAAAACAAACACGTCTTTACCACTGTTGACAGTCGGTCTTCGTGTCATTTCTGTGCTGGTAGAACTTTCATCTGAACTGTACTCCTCTCCTGCTGGCTGCTGCTTTTTTCGATATTGCTGATACGCCACTAGGCTATAGTAACTACCAAATTCTTGGTCCACCCCCATTCTCTGGAGAGAGATGTTACGATCAGGTTCTGACCATATGTCTGAATCAGAGGAGGGATATGATACCCACAGGGCATTGCCCGTCTCTTGGATTTTTTGTAAATCATCAATCATGTGCCAGGATTTGGAATTTTCCAATTGTTCAGACTGTCTGTACCAGAAATCAGTTATTCCATCTCTATGCTGATGTGATAAAGACCGTGCGGGTAGACTACAGGTTGTCAGGTCTTTATCTTGTGAGTTTCGTATGAGAACGTTTTGCGGCAGTCCACGGTCATTCAGAAGAAGGAGAATATCATCACTGTCAGACTCTTCCAGAATGACCACCTGACCTCCTTGACTTTCTTTTCTCCCATCGACTCTGGCTGTTTGATTATCAGAGACTGAGCTCCGTAGATGTGTGTATCTCCGACCACTCTGGGTACTCCAGTTTTGGTAAAGAGAAGACATACTGGAGAAAATTTCATTAGTACTGTCATTCCCGGGTCTATCTAGAGCCCTACCTTCAAGTATTTTACTTTTCACATCTTCTTGCAACTGCTGCTTCTCTGTTTCTAAGCTTGTAACTTGCTTCGTTGAGCTATTGAAGAAATTCCTTCTTAAGTTGATTATTAAATGTACAGGGAAACTTATAGTATAAAGTTCAGCCTAACTGTAAAATAAAAATTCTCATTTCATTGCATACGACTTTAATGAAATAATTTTTTATTTATTAAGAAAGCAATCAGTATAAAAACATTTATTGACTTAACAGACATACTGAAATGTAAAAAGGAAAGTAAAACATGACACATGTAAATTTGCTAGTCAGGAAGTACAAAATGAGCTCTAGATTGGTTTAAATGAAACTGTGGAAAGAAAAGTGAAATGCGACATAAATTTGTAAATCAAGCAGTACAAAATGAGCTTTACATTGGTTTAAATGAAACTGTGGAAAGAAAAGTGAAATGGGACATAAATTTGTAAATCAAGCAGTACAAAATGAGCTTTAGATTGGTTTAACTGAAACTGTGGAAAGAAAAGTAAAATGTGACACATAAATTTGTATATCAAGCAGTACAAAATGAGCTTTAGATTGGTTTAACTGAAACTGTGGAAAGAAAAGTAAAATGTGACACATAAATTTGTAAATCAAGCAGTACAAAATGAGCTCTAGATTGGTTTAAATGAAACTGTGGAAAGAAAAGTGAAATGCGACATAAATTTGTAAATCAAGCAGTACAACATGAGCTTTAGATTGGTTTAAATGAAACTGTGGAAACAAAAGTAAAATGAGACATAAATTTGTAAATCAAGCACTACAAAATGAGCTTTAGATTGGTTTAAATGAAACTGTGGAAAGAAAAGTAAAATGTGACACATAAATTTGTAAATCAAGCAGTATAAAATGACCTTCAAATTGGTTCAAATGAAACTGTGGAAAGATGTAACACTTTATCTTGTTCATTTTCAGATATGATGTTTTCCTCTAAATTTAAGATTTCATGACTTCTTTTAAAAACACTTTGATGAAAAACCTCTTTAACACTATAATCTACTTTCATAATTAAATAACACTTTTTTGACAGCATTATGTCTATTTTTATAGTAAATTGAAGCCACCAATACCAGCATTGATGTTCATGTCAAGCATGACTAGCTATTTATGTAAAAGTACTTATTGTTTTCTATGTTTAAACTTGTTTCTGTACTTACTGATAGTCTTGTGGTACAGTACCACACTTTACAGTCTTGTACCACACTTTAGCTCTTCTCATAATTAATATGTAAATTTTTGAAAATTCTATATTTTCTATCATTTCAATTCAGGTGAAGCTGAAGTTCCTCAGGTAGATAACTTAACTTTCCTTTCTCTGATAGAGGGACTTTCCTCAACTTTCCTTTCTCTGGTGCACATGAAATGCAGATTTACTAACTGGTAATTAACTTTATTGTCTTACAGGAAAGATAGTTCATGATAGACTGCTGTTTTTTCTGTCAGTAAATATGGTAATGGCCAGGGTTTGCCACACCCATGTGCTCAGATCACAGTGGAAGAAGGTCACATGTGCAAGTTGTGGTCATGAAAATCTTAGCTTTGCTAATGGAATTGCATTTAGTATTTAAAGCCAAATCACCTTCTGTTACAAAAATTTGTTATAGATTTTCATAGTTATAGATTTTTATTCATATTTTCCTTAGCTTTTTGTATAACTTACAGTTTGTGTTCAGTCTTGCTTACTTTCACTTGTGTTTAACATTGGGGGTTATTTGTATTTTACATTTAACTTTCTTTTTTTAGTGTAGCTGAAGGGGGGACTCACATTGAACTGATAAGACAACTTGATTAAACATTTCTCCACACCCTTCTTACCAGTTCAATATACCCACTGTAAGCAGCTGCCTTTGTTTTGTCTTGTAACTTTGATTGTTATTGTGTAATGCATCTCAACTTTTTCTTCTCAACACCCATTAACAGTTCAAAGAGAAACAAATACACTTTGTAACATGATTTTCTCTGAGCTGCCAGTTAGTAAGTCCTAACTAACTGCTCTGCATTCATGTTAAAATAATTCATTAATTTAATTAGAATTCGCTTTAAATTATAAACCCAATTGCAAGCTAGTGTTTCAATCAGTGGCCTGCTCTTGTTTATGTGCATGTCTTGCTTGTCTCAAAGAAGAGTATTTCACCCTCTTTGCAGCTGACAAGTGTAGCCTATTGATATATTTTGCCAAAGCCATGCTTCCTTCAATTGGCACGAGCTGGTCTAGTATTGGCTAGTTAGAGCAGTGACTATTTCTCATAGATTTTTTTAACTCACTTAGTTTATTACGACAGAGTAAAGAGAAGTGGTTACACATAAAGCATCAGTAATTACATGTTCTATATTGAACATGATCACATTCTTGTAGTTATCTTTCACATGTGGTATCCTTAACTCTATGTATCATTACGAATTATTCAATTCTATCTTTGCAACATTTGTTTTTGTACTAACTTTTCTTATTGAACATTTAATGTTTAATGTATACTTTAGTAATTGAACCTGTCCGAGACATATGGTCAGAACCTGAATGTAACATCTATCTCCAAAGAATGGGAGTAGATCAAAACTTCAAGAGTTATTATAGTCTAGTGGTGTGTCAGACCATCAATTTATATAGTTATTTGCTTGGATGGGCCTTGTTACCTTGATTTGGCAGTTGATACTAAAAAGGAATGTACATGTAATGTGAAAGGTTTAAATATAATATTACTATTTTATACACTTCCAGCTTGATGTCAAAAGCCAGTGGTGGCTTTAGTGTATTTTAGGTGGTGATGTTTTACTCTTAATATGATGCATGAGCTTCATCTTAATTCCCAGATATCATTCACTTGGTACTACTTTATAACGAACAAATTTTGTACTTAAACAAGATTTCAGGGTACAAAGATGCTGGGCAATAACACTGGATTTAAATACAATTTACCATTGTTAATGTCAAGAAATCAGTATGAGATTGTACTTACAAAAGACAAGAAACTGGAATATGATAAGAAGATAACATTACACCTTAAATGGTTTCATACATGTTTCTAAAGAGAAAATACATTAATGCTTTTCAATTACTTGTGTATTCTATACAACTAACTAAAATCTGTCATATATATATTTCTTCTGATTTGGCATTATCAAAAGTATATTTCAAGATTTATTTAGATATTTCTAAATTTTGGTAGTTAAACAGTAAAGTTCAGATAATTTGAAAATATTTCATTATCTCCAATATTATGTATTTTGCCAACAAATCAATTGTTTTAGTGAAACACTATACACAGAAACATTGTCTTTGTATTGTTATTATTATTATTTTAATGTTGAAGATACAATTCAATACTCACTAGGTATTCAGTTTCAGATCGGGAAAAGTGGATAAGTCTGGTTGTATTTCCAAAGCACAATTATGAATTCCAGAATGGATAATGTTGTTTTCTTCACATATACAAGAATTTCCAACAAATGGGGAAAAAATAATAGATTTATTAAATCAGTAAATCATTAATAAGTTGGCATAACTAAAGTGAAGAAGTTATGAGAGGATATCATAATTAAGAAGAAAGTTGATCTGCTCAGTTAATTAACAGATAATTAACTTCTCAACATAGAAAAGAGCTTATAAAAAAAACCTAAATATTTACATGATTAAAGCACCAACTTCACAAAATTCCATGATACTTTTGAATTAAAATAAAGCTCTAAAATTTTTGAACTAAAACTATGATAAATATGGTTAAAATTTGTGTCAGTTGATATTCTATAAATTATACTTCATGTTCTTATAAAACAATAAATCAGGTTAAAAGATGCATCGGTTATGATTCTAACATCTGGGTTACCATGCAATGAATGGTCCATTTCTAAATCATGATTTTGTCTGATCAAACTTCACTTTTAGAATAATACTAACATGATTTTATCCCACTAAACTTCACTTTTAGCATAATATTAACATGATTTTGTCTGACCACCCTTCGCTTTCAAAATAATACTAACATGACTTTGTCTGACCACCATTCATTTTAGAATAATACTAACATGATTTTATCCCACTAAACTTCACTTTTAGAATAACATTAACATGATTTCGTCTGATCAGCCTTTGATTTTAGAATAATATCAACATGACTTTGTCTGACCACCCTTCACTTTTAGAATAATACTAACATGACTTTGTCTAACTACCCTTCATTTTTAGAATAATATTAACATGATTTTTTCTAACTAGCCTTCACTTTTAGAATAACATTAACATGATTTTGTCTGACCACCATTCACTTTTATAATAATATTAACACAAACGGTGATCTGCATATAAAGTGAAAACATTATATTCCACTTGTAGAAGAACTGTATCTATAATTAAATATATAAGTGTATACTATTTTTAAATGTCAGTAAATATTTTACCTGTAAAATATATTTTGGTATTTCATAAAGAAGTAATGACTAAGTTGTTGAGATTTTACTTTCTTGTGAAATGCCAAAATGTTTGTTGCAAAAAATTCCCAAATTTGGGTAGTACATCAAGATTTATTTAGGCTCAACAAAAATAAGGAAAAGCAAATTTGACTGCAGCTGTTTTTTCATCACAGTTCTCTAAAATTATTAATTTCAAATTGCATATCTAAAAAAAATTAATTTCAATAGTATATGTATCAGCTGGCATTGTATGAAAGAAATTTTGTATGATTACTTGTTATATACAAACTACACATCTAAAATGTTATTTTTATATACTGGTTTAAAAACCTGTAATTACAGAAATGTATTAAATATTATCTACTGTCAGATTGATTTACAACTTTTTCACTGGTTATATTATTAGCTGGCATTAAATAACAATAATTTAAAGGTGTTTTCCCATAATTATGACCCGTGAATTAAAACTAGACACCTATTAACCTACCAAGCAAGCTGTGTGACAAGCAGTTGGATAATTTCCTACTTTCCGACAGAAACTGCCTGACACGAGATATACACTCCGGTGTCCACAATCTAGGACTCGGCTGGCCATTAGCATCATGTGACAGAAGTCTTTCTAGGAGATTAGTAAGCTCTTCCAGCTGAAACTGTAGTAATTCACACACCCTCTGAGAATAGAACAGTTGATTCTGCAATTTCTCCTCCTCGTCAACTTGTACAGACTGGGCAAGTGTTTGTAAAATTGTAAGGTAAGTTCACTTAAAACTTAAATGTAGATCTCTTATACTTAATATTTATTTTTAGATTTCCAGTCATATCACTAACAGAAATTTCATTTTTAATAACCCGTAGCAAATATGATTCTATTGAGATTATATAAATCAATTAGTTCAGTGTATGTGGAATAAGACATAGTATATCTAAAGTTATATGCCATGTTTCTTTTTTACTATATCATCCATGTTAACACTTTTAATATGATTACAGTAACATTAAATAACTTACTGCATTATTGAAGTTTTCCAGCTTCTTCTGGGCCTTTTTCTCCAGTTGTTCTACTCTTAACACCAACACAAAGACTTCCTTCTTTAAGTTGCACACATTATCTGAATGACCAAATTTGGAGAGATTGTGAGATTGAAGTTGCCTCCACAAATAATAACTTTCACTCACCTTGTCATTAGGCAGTTTGCAGCTCGCCGATGTTGAGAGAAGACTCTTACTTCTTTCATTCTTTCTTGAATTTGGTTGAACAGCTAGATTAATATTTGGTTGAGAAACTGAGTGATTCAACAACACTTTGTTTGTCTCTGGTAAAAGAAGTATTCCAACAAAGTCTTTATGATCTGTTACCTTCGTTATATCTCCTTCACTCCTGCTTATAGAAAATATCTCTGCTTTTTTCAGTTGAGATTCATAGTACAAGGCAAGAGAGGTCTGTTTTCTCACCTGACTCTTACTGTTTTCTAATTGAACATGAAGGCTCTGGATCTATCAATAAAGATTTCAAACTTACTTCTGTTTTATTTTATTTTTTGGTGTGTTAATTGAATTTTTATTTCAATCACCATCATTCATGCTAAATAGTTCTAAATCTTAAGTGTTTTCTCTTTCGGTAATGCATAAGATAAGAATATAATACATGAAAAGGTATCTTATAAACATGCCATTATAACATTGGACCATTTAATTACTTCTGCATTTGTGAACAGTGTTTAACGTTTCTATTATATAAAAAGATATTTAAAATTTTAAAAATTAAGTTACACAACTTACAAAAACATAAAACATGCTGGTTGTAGTACAATGAAGTCATAAATCTAAGCATATTGTTAGCCAATTCTAGAGCTAAAATTTTTTTCATCATTCAATTACTTGCAAACAAATTCATAAGCAAGTCTGAATTAGAAAAACTTGTTTAACTATGACTTAATCTATGACAGATAAATATTGAGACATCTGGTCTTACCTGTAAATGCGCTTGGGACAACAAGTCCTTCAACCTATACACCTGTGAGGACTCCACATACAGCTCACTGGACAGTGTTTCATGCTCTTTTTGTTCTTGAACATGGAAGAAGGGAGATGTCGTACTTCCCAAACATTTGTCGTCTGTCTGACTTTCATTTTTATGTGAAGGTTCACTTTGTGCTTGTGATAAAACTGTCTGTTTCATAAAAAACAAGTTATTTATATATTAAAATAAGTAACATCACAAACTACAGCTTTTCAAATTATCAGCTTGATTTTACAGAAATAAGCTATTCAAAAACACAAATTATTGCTTAGTTTTATTAAAAAAGAACTTTAACATATGAATTATTCATCTGATCACATTTTTCCTTATCCAAAAATCTGTACCTACTTTCAACAAAACATCTGATCACAACTGAATTATTTTATCTGCAATTTTTACAAACAATCCCATTAAAGGATCTCTCATTTAGATTAAATATTGTAGATTTTTACTGAAGTTTTTGAATTCCTCGTTTTTTTAATATCAAGATTTTCTTTCTCAACAAAATATCTGTTATTAAGAAGGAATTTTTCCAGATTTATTAACTTATCATTCTCTAAAAATAAAGCTATTCAATATTTTTTTGGAAGAGATAATGGAAGAAGTCTTTCCACAGTTAGATTGTGGCACATCAACATGTATAATATTATTTTTAGCATGATTTAAGATTAAATTAAATAAGTTTATGTCAACAGAGGATGCTTCAAAGTATAAGCCACAAAAGTTAAAAAAAATAAAATTCAGAGTATCTACAGTGCATCACTAAATGTCTTCCAATTATCTCATGATATAGTTATTGCATGCAATAAGACTGATGTAAAATTTATTATTAATATGGTGGCTAGGCTTAGCCAAATGCTTGATGTTATTAAGATAGAATCAAATATCTCCTTAACTACTCGATAATTAGCCCCAAATCAGCTTTTGTTTTATGAAACACTCATACTGCATTCAACACTCGGAGGATGTTCAGGGATTTGATATAAGCCATTACAGCCATCTCATCTCATCTTAAGAAATGTTCTGAAACAGTTCCTGATGAGATATATTCCTTTTTGGTATTGGATATTCTCATCAAAGTTTCCATCTGCGGGAGATACCACAGACAAAGAAGCAGGTGACAGAGATGACAAAAATCTACACAGACACAAAACCTATACTGATTAAGATCTTGCTTTTTGTGGCATTCACATGTCACTGTAAAATGCTTAAGCATTAAAGCATTATGCTTAAGTTGCAAGGTTTAGGTTTTGTGCAATTTGAATGTAAAACATTTTATAACTGATTTGTTTTAAGTGCTATTGCACTTGTAGACCCACTAGTGGGTATGGCCAACTCCAATAATTATGCTTCTTCTAAATCAGCCTTCTTGTGTATCCTAGAAACATAGCTGTCATTGAAATTTTCTCTTCCACAGTTTGTGTAAACTCAAAATATATGCACTGTTTAAATTTTGGCTCCTTACTATAAAAGTATAAATAATTATTTAAAAAAAATATATATATATATTATTACTGTTAAACAGAAATAAGAGGAAACACTTCAAACTTACTTCTACAAGATCACTTCTTGCTTCGTTTTGAGATTTCACAGATTTTAACCACAACAATTCATCTTTCCATCTGGTGATCTGATTTTGCAGAATTGTTTGTTGTTGTGTACACTGTTTAAGCTTGTCTTGTAACACATGGTTTCCACTGGTCAGGTGTGGAAAATCTGATGTAATTGTGTTAGAAAAGCCAACAACTTTTTCCTGATGAATGTTTCTTTGTTTTCCTTCTTTCAGCAGACTGTCATTCATGTTCATTTTATCTTTTCCTTTCTTCTGTTCTGTAAACTCACTAAATATTTTGTCCAGCTCTTTATTTCGCTTAACTAATTCTACCTTTACACAATTCAAATGCTCACTTAAAGATTCAATTTGTTTATTGGCAAAAACAACTTCTTCCTTTTTAGCATTTAAAGCACTGTGGAGCTTACAAATACAACTGTTTTTATCCAGTACTGCATTCTCTATTAGATTAACCTCTTTATTAATATCTTCCACTTGCTGGCAGGAAGTTTCATGGCTGCCAATGACCCGAGATGACACATCACTTGTAGAAATCATCTTCTCTTTTAACTGGCTAGGACATAGTATGATAGAATTCTCATCTATTATTAACTGCCCTTTTTTTTCACCCTCTTTCTGTAGTTTCACACTGAGATGTTCAATTTCTCTATTAAGTTCTTCAATCTTTCTGTTTGCTATTCCAATCAAATCTGTTTTCTCAGCAAGACTTTGTTTCATATCCTCAAGGCAGTCTTGTAAATAACAATGATAATTTGTTAATGCACTTAATTCAGTAGGCTTATTATTAAGTTCCTGAACAGTTAGTGCAACATGTTTCTCATTTAGCTCGTTCTTAGTATTTTCAAGATCAATAACCTCTTTGTCATCTTGTTTTTTGATCACTTTCATTTCACACTCTTCTACGTGTCTTAATGGTTCTGTCAAACAAACAACTTCATTGATGAAACTTGTTTTTTTTTGTGCTTTCAGCATCTCTATATTCTCAAAAGCCAAAGCAAGTTCTTCATTTCTGATGCGCAGATTGTGCTCTGTTTTTGAAAGTGAATATTGAAGTAAGTTTACATGATTTTTATATAATTCCATCTCATTTGATGTAAATTTAAATTTCCCTTGGAGCTGCTCTAACATCATCTTTTTATCATTTAATTCTTTGTGAGTTTCATTCAAACTATTGACAATTTCTTGGAAGCATTTTTCTTTTTCTTTTAAGAACCGATCAAGTTCTGACTTTTTGTGTTCAGATACTTTCAGCTGCTCAGCTAAGTTCTCAATTTTAATTGTTAATTCAATAAACTGTTCATTCTTAAGCTTCAGATCCATTTCAAAGTGATTTCTTTCTTCTTTAAGTTGAAAAATCTGTAGGTTCAAAGCTTCATTTTCTTCTTTATGAGATTTTATTGCTTCATTTGAAGAAATCAGTTCTCTTTTTAATCTTTGAATTTCTTCATTTTTATGTTCAAAAGCATTTTTTAATCTTTGTTCCAGTTCCCTTATTGTAGAATCTTTCAAATGCAGGTTATTAATAATACGTTTAAATGACTTCTCCATTTCTTCTGAGGTGCTGTCTCTTTCACCTACAAGTTCCTGCAAGTATGGAAACATGAATAACACTATACAGTACAACTGAATAAAATGTTTTCCTTCTTTTCAGTGAAGCACTTCAAGGTATCAATTTGTTTTTAAGTTTTCTAAAACATTCTTTTATTCTCACAAACATCCTTACGTATAAGTAAAATCTCCAGCTTTGCTACCTCTTCGATCAGATATGTTTTCATTCACGTAAAGTGCAAGGGAGTTTTAGAGAAAGATGTAAAATTACCAGTTTAAGCCTTGCAGTTCTTAATATTCTCTCAAATATTTTAATCTCATATAAAATGTATTCAACTGTAATAGGTTACTGAAAAAAAATCTATGTCCTAAATAAAACAATAAGGTTTTAAAACACTTTAAATTTTAAACCCTTCATTTGCAGCTTGTGTAAGTCTGTGTACCACCCCATACACAACGATTTGTGAATTTTTGCGGTGGGCCATTCAAGATGTTGCATGCAAAATGCTTGCATTATATGATGTCAACTGCAGTTGAAGGGTTAAATGTCTACCTTATTCTTAATCCAAAAAATTAAAACATTTCAATCTTAAACCAAAAAGTCTATCCTGGAATCTATATACTAAGAGAATTATTACACTCTATGATGTGGCAGATCATTCAGATACATGTAATTCCTTGAAGATTCCAATCTATATCTACAAACTTATATTTCATAATTAAACATTTACACCTAAAAGATATGTCTCTTGCTTTCAAATCATATTTCTAAATATTTGCCTTTATTTCTTATACATTACAGATATGCTAATAACTATAAAATAAAAGTAAAACCATTAGAGCAGGAATAATTAACATTATTAAGGTCTTGAGGTAAAAGACAGTCAAACCTCCATTTCCCCATGAGTATCCTGAATGGGATGTTGAAGTTGGGCTACCTTGATATTCCTTTCCACATATAGGTTGCTATGTAGCTTAGCAGATTTAGATATCTCTTCTTGTAGAGAATTCAAGCTACATTGTAAGTTCTGGACTTGTTGTGATCGTTCTGCTGACTGCTGTTCGAGAATCTAGGCATAGACTCAGAAAATGTTATATAGATTTAAACTCAAGATTTATATTTCTGCAGGTAAGTATTGTACATTTTATTTACAGAACTGTAGTAAAAATTAATTTTTTTTACTTTTATAATTTACTTTTATAAATAAACTGTGAACGTGATTTTTTTTTTTTTAATGCATAAAGCATATTGTTACCACAACTCCATTACCACTTAGTTTGTTATTGTTAATAATCCATTTCAAATTTTATCTTTTGTATCAAACTCTACCTTTAAAAGATGTGGATCCTTAGAATATCACAAACTTTTACTTTTTTTTTAGTTGAACTCTTGTTTTTTCAAAATGCTTAGGAACTATGAAATCTAAAAACAAAATACAGAGTGCATTATACATTTCATGAGTTATGTTTTGTACTAGTCATTTTATGGTGATGTAAAAATAAATAACTAAACTTTAGCCATATTGTAACTAGAAGCTATTAGAAGATTTCATTTAAATTATTACCCAGAATGGGGCGAGGGTATTGTAATCGTTTGTGTGTCTGTCTGTGTTTCTGTCACATTTCTCCGAAAACTAATAGACCAACTAATAGTAAGCAAAAATTTTAAACCAGATTGAAAGTCAGTATGATAAAGTCCTAACCAAATTTGGTCCAGATCCAAATCCTAAATCACATTTTGGATCACTTTGAATAATTTTTTTTATAATGGGGAAATAGGGCATTCTTGCAGTTTTGGGGTAATAACTCTGTAAAATATGTTTGGACTTGTACCAAACTTCATGGGCACATTAAAATTAAGACTCTTCATCACACTACAAAAAATGATCCATCTCACTGATAATTCTGGATCTGAGAAGGATTTTCTGAGTTTTTCGAAGGTAAAATTTGGCGTTAACCAATATAAACACATACAATCTCGAAACGGATGGTGGGGCGAGGGTATGCAGTCTTTCTGATTGCTCTTGTTAATATAGTTTCAAATCAGATTTATAAAAAATTACCGTTAATGCTTGGAAATATAAATTCTTCTTTTAATGGCCTTAAAGTAATGTACTTATTATATTAGTAAAATATCTGTGAAATGTTACATTTCTACATACTTGAATGTTATTTTCTTTTGATTGAAGCTCATTTCTTAGTCTCTGTACTTCGTCTAGTAAATCTTCTTTAGAAAAACTGGATATGCCTCTCAGAGTATCTGTCACTTCCTCAGAACTGGTAAAAAGCACCTAGGTGAATGTTCAAATATAAACTGCTAAGTTAGTTTCTTTGTAAGAATAAACAGCATTTAATATATGCTGACTTACTCTGCTACTTTTCCTAACACCGAATTTTACATCATAAACATTAATTCATTATAACTGTATGCATGACACATTTTTGTGAATCTAATATATAAATATTTCTATATGTTTCACATACTTTTGTAAATTATGCCACCGAACAGTTCTAAAATTATAATCACTGAAATATATCTTTGTTAATGACCAAGATGAAACACACTGTATAAAATATATTGCTAAAAGTAAAAAAAATAACTGTGGTTGAAATTTCACCAGTCATTTTAAATAAGAATGAGGAACAAAATGGAAAAATATATTTAATCTTTGGACATTTTTCAATAGCATGATATATTTAATAAGACATGCAAGTAATATATGGGTTAACATAAATTGAATAAATAATTTATATAAAAATAAGGATTGGATGATTGAGATATGCCAGAATATAGAAAGATGACCAATACAGAATTTCCACAATTCTAAAATTTAGAATAAGATGAAATGAAAACAGCAGGTTTTTGGTTAGAGTTTAGCATTCATTTCGAAACACCTAAAGAGATTGTTGATGGCTGACTCTGTAAACTCTGAAACTTAATCTAAAGATTAAATATGTTTTTATACTGAGCCATGATGTACCTCTTTTTAATTAGGCTACATTTTCTACATGATGAATCATTTCTATTATTATTTAAGCAACAACAAAATAAGTTACTTTTTTGTAAAAGTTATGGTACTAAAAATTTTTATTTATGAAGATTATGAGATTAACAATTAAGAAACAAGGTTCTAACAAACATTAATAGGGTAAGTATAGCTTTACAGATAATACAATAAAAATAAGGCTTAAAACTTTTTTTAAAATCACACAAATAAATCACTTATCAAACAGTGATTGAGGAGGTTCGCAAAAAGACTACCATAAAATAAAGTGTAGCATACCATGGTACACAAATGGTACATAAATAAATCATCATAAGATGATTATAACTCAAGCAGTGATGAATTATTAAATTAGAAACCAATTTCTTAGAATTCTACTTTACTTAACACAAAGAATGTGTATTATTTAATATATATACACAGCATGGTCACAAGTAAATAGACACCACCTTTTCAGAAAAAATGAAATTTTTCAGTCACATTCACATGAATTGATATATTTATGATTTAATTAATATCTAGTAGATCTTCCTTTCGCTTCGTGGAGTTCGTTGATCCTTTGGGACATCGTGAGAATCATCTTGTCAATTTTAGATTGTAGGATTGTCGCCTACTCTTGCATCAAAACTTGGAGTAGATCGCCCCCCTCGAAGTTGTTTTTTTTTTGTTGTTGTTTTTTGACTTGCCGGTCGAGTATGGCCCAGAGGTTTTCGATGGGGTTCATGTCAGGAGATTGGCTCGGCCAGGGCAACATCTGGATACCATTTTCTTCCTGCCACTTTTGGGTGTTTCTAGCAGTGTGACATGGTGCTCCATCT